ATGAAGATTCTTAGTCATCCAGGTCATAGTCATTCCGTAAAAGTTTAAAAACAATCCACTGGACTTGGTTTCCAAGGTTTGAAGATGTTTCGCTTCCCTTCCAGGAAGCTTTCTCAATTCAAATTTGAATTGGTTTGTCTGTGAACCTTTACGAATCTCCAAAAAATGTTATAACAACCATACATTTGTAACTTAGTACTGAGGTGTGTGTGTTGCTTGGTGTTGTTCCACCATATAGAGTCTCAATTATTCAATAAAAAGTGGCGTGGTAAATTGATAAAATATGACAGGACTGTAGTTTTAAGGACTTAGATGACCATTGGAATACAGTAAATTACATTTTGATTTTTTCCATTTTGAAACTATTAAAAAATCCAACTTCTAAATATAGAATAGACTTGGCAGCACACTCATCCCTGGGCACAGATTTTATCAAACGAGTTGTAGGGAGAGTCAACATATGTCTTTTTATGAATCCTTTGAGACTGTCATCTTTTTTTTTTATTGTTTGCTGTTTAGGTTGTTCTTTTGCATTTTAACAGCCTTTACACATCATGTTTGTCATGCCAGACCCTGCTTTGAGAATATTCGTTATATTGCTTATTGTCTCAGAAGTAGATCCTCTTTTTAATATTTCTACATAAGCATATATTATCTGTGTGTGTGTGTTATTTTTTTTATCTGGTTACTTGATGTATTTTTTTTAACTTCAATCTAAAGTTGACCTTTCAGCGCTAATTAGTCTTAATATAGCTGTAGAGCTGCAGGCTTGCATTCCACATGCGGTTTAAGCTAAAATGGGAAACTTAAGTGCAGTAATTTTGTTTTATATTTAACACAGAATTTGCAAGAGGAGAGATAGCAACAAGTGAATACATCAGAGATACTCATGAAACAACATAACTACTTTCAACAATTTGGAGTTATTCTAACTTAAATGGTGCTGAAAATAAAAGGTGTTGCAGACTACGATGTTTGAATCCACAGCAAACAAAGTACTTAAATAGCAACAAGGGTTTTGTTGCTAAGTCTCTGTTTTCTTTATTTTTTTATTCTTCAACCCTTGAAAGATTTATGTCAGTTTATTTCACTTGTGCAAGATCATTATGCCTCTGGGAGGGGACAAAGTAACATTTTCTAAGAAATAATTCCTAAAGCTCCTAAAACCACATGAGGACCTTCATTGACTGTGGTGGAATCACAGTAATTTTCTGAGGTGTGGTTTGTTCCAGAAGCTGTTTATCTGCAGCTAAGCGGAAGTGGTTGACTTAACTCATTAGAACCTTGGATGCCCATGACACACAGTACAGGCAGTGGGAGACAGCAATATTACAATGAAAATATCATCACTTATTGAGAATTTCCCCCATTATCAGGCTTCTGTGAAGCCGGAGAGCCCATTCTGTAAAATATAGCTGTAACATAGATTGCCAAATTATCTATGGTACAAACTTTTAGTTGCAATTTCTTTATCAGATCAATAATTTCTTTTTTATGCATAGCATTATGAACTCAAAAGTGTTTTTATAACTGCCAGATGATAATGAGTATTTGGAACGTTTAGTTTTTTTGTTTTTATTACCTGTTATGGAAATATTTTTTGTCTACAATCATGCTTGTGGCAAAGTCTTTTCATCCATTTGGTTGATTGGCTGAACACATAACTTCCAATCCGATTAAAACCAAATGTTTATGTTTGAATACAAATGACTAACAACTTTCATTTTGCTCATCATTTCCCAATTTGCATAAGCATTTTCACTGTCTGCTTGAGCTTATTTCACTAAAATGGCAGTAACACAGTGTACAATAAATTATTGTCTTCTACGACATTTTTCACTCAAAAAAACATACAAAAGATTGTATTATACACACCAATCATTAATAATTTCAAAGGGACTTAGATGGGGGGACAAAACAAGAAAAACAATTGCAAAAAAATCACAGATTATATTACTAACTGTAGTTATGCACGTTCAAGCATGTTCACATGAATCTTTATGAATAGTGGGGATTGTTGAAGCAATTAGCAAGCAATTAGAGTCACCAATTAACCTAAAGGTCATGTTGGACTTTGGGAGGAACCTAAACTCAGTATAGAAAGACCCCAAAACATGATGCCATTTTATTTCAAATCAATGCTTTCCTTTTTATTTCTAAGATGTTTGGTCGTCTTTAATCTTAATCTTTTCATATTTAGTCTTTTGTATATTTGTAAATTTCTCAACTGTGTAACAATATATGCATTTCTACTTTTATATAGTGACTATATAATGATTTCGATAAATAATACGATTTTATTCAAAGGTTACCACTTCTGAGGTTTTTTTCTAAGGTGCTGCCTTCAATAGTTTTTGCAGAGTAATAAGCTACCCTTTTAAGAACGGCTGGCTTGTCTGTAATTTATTGTCATAGGTTCCTGCACTGACGTTTAGTTGTGGAAATATCCATGAGTATTATCATTCATTGACTACAGCTCTCCAACATATCAAAATGAATATTAGGGGGGAGTGGAGTTTCTGAGTACCGACAGTCCCTGAAGGCAGCTCAGATGATAGAGGGGGCGAGGGAGGGGGAGTTGGTGGGGGTGTGTGACGTCATGGCACAGTGCCCCGTACATGTCTGGAGGAGAAGTTCGCTTCGCTTCGACAAACTTCAGACACCAAACTGTGAACGAGGGGGGCACGGAGGAAATGTTCAGGCCAGACCGTTAAATGTTTCTTTTTTATTTCCATTTTACTACCAGTCGTATCTGTTCGTTTTATTGTCAGAAATAACGCTGTTCAAAAAAAAAAAAAAAAAAAAAAAAGCTCGCAGTTGGGACTGATTTTTATGTCTCGTTCACGGACCTTAGATCACATCCCCGCTCAGCAGGCCAGCCCCGGCCGGCCGCTGTGTGTTTTTTCTGCCCTGTTTCCGGTAGATGAAGCATAGAGAGCCTCTGTTCTGGCGGCTGACCGCGGTGAGGAAGAGTCGTAGGGTTGGAGGCTCCGCCAGAGTATGATGGGGATGCCGAGGGGAGGACGGCTGTTCCTGGCGACGTGCCTCTGCTCTTTCTTCGTCCTTGTTCTTTACTTTCAGAGCATCACTAAACCAGGTAAGACATCACATTTTAGAAATGATTCCCTGTCCGTAGGCACGTGGTTATTTTTCTTTTATCACGTAATAAAGCTGTACTAGATAGCATGGGAGTTTGTTCAGTAAAAAAAGAAGAAAAAGAACAGTACATAACTTTTTTCCGTTACTTTAAGAGGAGGATGGAACAACATAACCTAAAAAAATCTCACAGAAATTTCACATTTCACGGAAATGTCCATCAAGCTGTAGTTGTTTAACAAATTACAGAACAATAAACAAGTTAATTTGATTTAGAGTCGTAGGTAAGTCACATTTAAATGTCAAATCAATCTGGCTTAAACATGTATATAAATGTATTCTTTATCAGACTTTATTGTCACAAAATTTTGGGAATAAAATCTGTTTCTTTTTTTTGTTATGTTATCCAGGCCAGTTAGTTATACGTCAGCTTGTACACCTAAATTCAGCCAATCATATATCAGCGGTCATCTGTCAATCAAATTTTTCGGTCATAGCAACTTGATTCATATGTCACAGCTAATATGCGCAGCGGTTGACTCTCCTCTTCTTGCATGTTTCCGCTGTCCATAGTGTTCCTTAGCAGTATCGGTTCTTAGTGCTACTTGGTCCCAATGTAATTTCCCATTGGGAACCTACTAGCACTAAGTTGCTAACTGGTTAGCAAGATGTTTCTGACAAACCGGCCAAATCCAGCCTTGCTTGCAAACCTTCCGCCACAACAATCCCGCCCTCTTGATAAATGACCAATCACATTCACTTTATTCACTTGTGTAAAGTCGTGCACCACTCGGGAGAATTCGGAAATGCAACGGTCGGAACAGCCGCTTTCCTCCGACTTTAAACAAGTTAGAATTGAGAAGATTCTCAGTCACCCAGATAAGGAATACAGTTGAGTTAAACCTCAAACTCAATTCCTGACATTTTGAATTGAAAAAGCTTCTTGGATGGGAAACGAAAAGTCTTCAAACTTGGGAACAAAGTCCAGTGGATTGTTTTTAATTCTATTTTTTTGCAGAGTTAGAATGGAGGACATTAAAGCTTAGTCTGTCTTCCTTCATAACCCCAGCATACCACACCAAGCATCTTTGACACCCATGACCACAATGTACCCATCCTCTGATGGCTACTATCACCACCCTAACACAGATGTTGCTCAAAGGAGCTTCACTGAGGTGAATGAGGTCTTTAATGTGTTTTTTGTTTCTCTTTGGTGTGCAGGTTTTGCTTGGATTTCGTTTTTTAAGAAAAATAAATCAAATAGGAGGATCAGCAAGGGGTGTAAAACAGATGGTTTGATCAAAAGTGAATGAGGAGATATATGAATAGGCCCAGTGTGAAGACTGGAATGTTTTTAAAGCCCCCTCTCCGTCCCTCCAGGAGACCCCCTGCTTTCCACGCCTGCATCCCTTCTTCCTCTTCATACTCCTCTATCTCAGGCCGAACCTTTTCAGCTCAGTTAGCTACATCATTTCAGCAGGATTTTTTCATATATTAGGTAGAAAAAGGGTGGAAATGGCGCAGTGAGATGATTGATCTATACTTTTTATATCAGCTGAGTAATGAGAGGATTTTTTTAGCATGTTTGCTAAAGAAATAAGAGGAAAGAGAAAGCAGAAGAGGAATGAATACAAAGGTGGAGAAGTTGATCAACAGGTTGTTGTTTTTATCTACTAGGTTCTGTGTTTTACATTTTACTGTGATAAAACAATTCATGATGTAGGACCTTTAGACATACTAAAAGATGATCAACACCTGATCATTTTCAGAATATCTGGAATGGTTTGATTCCAGTTTCATTACCGTAAGAACCTGACACACAATGCACATGTTTCTGACCCCACAAACGATACACTCAGTGACCCACCTCCACACGAGCCGAGCGCCTTGACTGTCGGGTAGGGATGGGCGATATGTTATCGTGTGCGATATATCGTCAAAGAAATTCCTCATGGTAACAATTTGTCATCTCGCGATAAAAACGATAAACTCCCGCCGGTGACGTGTACTGGGCGTGACACACCTGCAGTCCAACCCACGTGCGAGCCATGCGCAAACAACAAGCATGGCGGAAGGTGGAGGAGAAGTGCCGCAAGACCTGGTTCCTAAAAGAGGCTCCAGCTCCGTTATCTGGAACTGGTTTGGATTCAAAAAGTCTGATACGGAGCAGAAAGTCGTATTATGCAAAGTTTGCAGACAACCTGTGACGACAAAGGACAGCAACACTACAAATTTATTTCACCACCTCAAACACAAACACAAACCGGAATATGAAGCTAGTCAGAAGATGCGCTGCGATGCAGCAGAAGCCTCGACGAAAACCTCTTTTAAGAAACCAACTTCAACTCAAACAAAACTTGCCGACGCGTTTTCTCATTCCACACCGTATGATAGCCAAAGCAAGCGATGGAAAGAGTTAACAGAGGCCGTTGCGTTTTGCCTGGCTAAAGATATGTTGCCGCTTCAATCTGTGGAGAAGGAGGGTTTCAGGCGTATGGTCCACAAAATGGACGCACGATATAAGATGCCTTCACGGAAATATTTTTCCAAGACAGCCTTGCCTAAGATGTATGACGAGTGCCGTGATGGGCTACAAGCGAAGCTATCAACAGTGACGTTTTTTGCTTCAACCACAGACATGTGGAGCAGCCGAGCGACTGAGCCATACATCAGTCTTACGGTGCACTACATAACAGATGACTGGAGTTTAAATAGCAGCTGCCTACAGACGAGTTTTTTCCCGGAGGACCACACGGGTGAAAATATTGCGAGTGGTTTGAAACAATTTTTACAAGAATGGAAACTTGACGAGGCCAAACAGGTGTGCCTGACCACGGACAGTGGGACCAACGTTGTCAAGGCAGTGGCGTTGAACAAGTGGACAAGGCTGTCCTGCTTCGGACATAATCTGCACATTGCTGTTGGTGAGTAAATCTCGTAATGTCTCCTTTCTTCTTATTTCTGAGTGTTCTAATTTGTGTGCTTGCATTATTTTTATTCAACAGTACTACTTGCAATTAATTGCGTTTAAGGTCACAGCTTATGTTTTCTATCGATTCTTTTTTTTTTCATTCTTCCTGCGCACTAGTCTTGGCATATACCGTTGCTAAACAACAGCAAGATGAGAGGTTTAACAAAGCCTCTGTTAAGAGCATTTTTGCTGAAGCTAAAAGTTTATTTATTTTAACCTGTGTCCTCATGAGCAGAATTCCATTGCACTGGGACGCTGGTACATATGGAGGACCAACTCTGCCATATTTAAAAATAGATACAGAAATAAATGCTCAATAAATATATAAGCATACAATAAATTGCCAACAAAAACACAATCAACAAATAAATATAAGTAGAAATTAAATTATACAGTGAGACATAAATGTATATAATTCTTTTAATTAGCTTCTTTATTTATTTGCCTTTGTAATACTTACCGTATTTATTTTTTTGTCCTTTATTTGTTTTTTTTTACATTTCTGCCTGCCCTTTTTACATTTCTTTTTACAATCGTGATGTGTAATATTACCATTTTTAACAACATATCGCCCAATCAGAAATTAGGAAATCAATTTACTGACAGACATGATTAATATCTCACAATTCTGGAAGCATGTATAAATTATCATTCATTGTTTTGGTTTTTGTGTGTGTGTGTTTTCCCCCAGAGAGAAGCATGAGGGACAGCAGAATTGACAGAGCTGTGGGAGTCAGCAAGAAGATAGTCAGCTTGTTTTCACATAGCTGGAAAAGGCAACGTGCTCTTAAAGCTGCACAAGAGGAGCTTGGACTTCCTCAACATAAACTGGTGACCGAATCTCCAACACGATGGGGCTCCAGGCAGAGGATGATTCAGCGGCTTCTTGAACAAGAAAAGGCCATCACACAAGTCCTGGCTGCTGAACGGTCAACCAGGCATCTGGTGCTGAAGTGGCAAGATGTTGACGTTCTTGATGCTGTCAGCAAGGCATTAGGACCTCTGCTTGATTTCACAGATGCCCTCTCTTCAGAGAGTTATGTGACAGTGTCATGCCTGAAGCCTATTCTTCACCTTTTCAGTAGCAAGCTTCTACAGGAGAAGGATGAAGATTCTGATCTCACCAAAACCATCAAAAAGTCAGTACTGGACTATCTGACAACAAAATACAGTGACCCAGATGTTGTGGAGCTGATCAACATGGCATCATTTCTGGATCCACGCTTTCGTACACAGCACCTAAGTCAGGAAGAGATCCAGGTCATCAAAGCCAAAGTGGTCACAGAGGGGGAACCTGTGTCTGCCATGCCAAGTGGCCCTGCTGCTGCTGCTGCCTCTGAAACATCACCTCAGTCTGCTGAAACAGGCCAGGGTCAAGAAACTGAGGACAAACAACAGAGGAAGAAACAGAGGAAGAGTCTGGGAAGCTTTCTGAAACAAGCAGCTGCTGCTGAAGTCTCCACCAGTGTCTCCTACAGTGACAGAGTTGAGGCCGAACTAAGCAGTTATTTATTTGGACAACTGGCAGACAGTGAGAGCGATCCACTTGCATGGTGGGAAGTGCATGAGGTGAATTTCCCTCTGATGAGTCAGTTAGCAAAGAAGTACCTGTGCATCCCTGCAACAAGTACAGCCTCAGAAAGGGTCTTCAGTGCTGGAGGTAATGTGGTAACTTGCCAGCGATCTCTTCTGAAACCAGCCACAGTTGATATGCTGGTCTTTCTAACCAAAAATCTAAAGGTGTAAGGCACATACAGATGCTCCTGTCAGCTTTATTTATACACTGTTGCACAGAGAGGTATTTCAGTTTTTATATTCTGTTTAAGTTTATTGAAATTATTTATTTTTATTTCATTGTTTAGCATGCTGACGATGCTGCTAGTCTTATTTTTACATTTTTGCACAAAGTATTTCAGGTTTTACATGTTTGTTGGATTTTATTGTTGTTTTATTGTATTGACATTATTTCTATTTTAGTATTTAGATTTTTCAGTTTTTTCCCCTTTATTTATCATGCCATTTGCACATTTTTTAGTTTTAATTTTCAGTGAAATACTTTTAAGTTCTGTTTCTCAATTTATCAGGTTGTATTTACAGTTGCACTACTTTGAAACTTTTATAAGCCAAGTTGTATTTGCTGTGTAGTTTACATTCTTGCACAAAATATTTCAGGTTTTACATGTTTGTTAGAATTCATTGACATTATTTCTATTTTAGTATTTAGATTTTTCAGTTTTTTCCCTTTATTTATCATGCCATTTGCACATTTTTTAGTTTTAATTTTCAGTGAAATATTTTTAAGTTCTGTTTCTCAATTTATCAAGTTGTATTTACAGTTGCACTACTTTGAAACTTTTATAAGCCAAGTTGTATTTGCTGTGTAGCATTTAAATAAATGTGAAATTTGTTCTCATATTTCAGGCTTGTTTGATTGGTTTGATATATTAGGCTGATATTGTGTTTTTGTTTTGTTTTTTATCGTCACTTATCGTTATCGTGGTAAAACCTAGAAATTATCGTGATAAATTTTTTAGTCCATATCGCCCATCCCTACTGTCGGGCCTGTTTAGGCTTGCCTGTTGCAACGAAAGCCACATGTAAAGCTCCTTGGAGCCACATTACACAGGACTAATTCACAGGATGTCAACAAATCATGGGCTTTCTTTAATTACTGGTTATGTACTCGAAAGGGAAAATGAAGATAACATTCATGTTTTGTTCTGCATTTCCTTAGTTATTCTTTGCTTTTTTTTTTTTTACCGTATTTGAACTGCAGTAGGTGACACATGCTAGACAAAGCTACGAACATTTGAAACTGCAGTCAGAGATTTGATATCATCTGACCTAGACTGATAATCCGCTTTAGTAACTACTTCTAAGTTGTTGCATGTAAATGAAATAATGGACATTTTTATCATTTTACAACCACAGCTTTGACCCATCTTTTTGAGATTTATAGAGACAAACACATTGTGGTGCATGTGAGTAACAACGGAAGTTAAATGATTTCACAATGTTTGTGAATGTCGTGATGTTTGTAGCAGTTATGAACCATGTTAGTGCGGTTCGGTTGTGTCTGGCACGGTCCGGTTGAGTTGTGCTTGTCATTTACACTCAACAGTTATCCTGGTTACTAATCTTGGCACGGTTTCAAAAGGGTAGCGTAAACGGGGCTTATGATAGATTTTATGTGCATATCAAACATGGCCAAAATTCTACTGTTGTGAAAAGTTAAGTTTACCAGAGTGAACTTAATCTAACTTTTGCTGTTTTGCTGTGAAAACTGTTTTAAACGTTGTACTTTTGGTTTTAGGGATGATAATCTAATTCTTAAATGTCACTTTTGCTCGACACAAGTTGGCAAAATTTAGCAAACTGTGGCCAGAAGTTCTGTTTTCCTGCATAATGAGCTTAGCTTTCATTCATGTGGATTCTAATGTTAAAAAGTAATGATATTTTCTGCACATCTCTGCTGTAGATAAATGATAAACTTGCTATAGATTGTTAGAGCTTCAGTCAGAGAGACAGTCAAAGGCCTCTTTTTACATTCAGAGAAGCAGAAGACATTCACAGCTCATGTGATAGAAACTTTACTGCCAACTTTAATAATGAAACTTAATGGTGGCCAATGGATGTTATTGCAATCTCAGTAAGATAAATATTTAAGTTAAGTTTATTGCACTGAGTTATAGACCGACAAGACATGCTCCTCCTCAATGAGCTTTTGGTGACGATTTTTGCTTGCATTTTGTCGTTGACTCTTCAGCAGTCCCTCACACTGAGCATCCATTCGGCGACAGTGGAGAGGAAAAACTCCCTTTTAACAGGAAGAAACCTCCAGCAGAACCAGGCTTGGTGTGAGCGGCCATCTGCCGAGGCCGACTGGGGTTCAAGGAGACAGAAGCAGAGATACAAAACGAAGCAGAGATAAAGAAGTTAGTAACTGTTAATTAGCTCCACAGGTGGTCTGTACAGAAAAGACAGGTGGTCTAGGCAGAACGGCTACAACCACTTCACAAAAACGGGCACATACAAGAAAGCACATTCAGTTTTTTACAATTATTATAAACAGGACTAGACTGAAAAATAGGCCCACCTCTAACATGTATAAAGAAAGTTGTCGATGGCAGCACAGCTGATATTTCAATCTAGGATGGAGTCACGGTCAAACAGGAACAGACCAGATGAAGCTACTATGACAAGAAAAAGCAGAGAGAGCGTTAAGTTATTGGTAGAACTAATTACTGCAGAAATATTGCAGAATGGTAGGAATATAGATAGAATGAAGCACAATGATGAAACAATGGTCCCTATGTCCTCCAGCAAAATAAACATATTGCAGCATAGTTTTTGAAAATATCTCAGGATAACCTATTTTAGATGAGCAATGAGAAAGGTAAATTATTTTGTTATGCATTAAAGTATAAACCATCCAAGTTTACTTTTATAAAGGACTTTTGGTTAAAAACTTCAAATGTAAGGTTATCCTGTTTTTGTTTTTTTTTTTAAGAAAAGAACCACTCTAGTTATGCTTTAGATGATTGGTATTTAGTGTCTTAGCTGTTTGAAGTCTGGTGTCTGTATTTTACAGGGCCTCTCCTCTCAGTCAAGCCCAGACATTTTTTTCTTCAGCTTAACAGTCCATTTTACAGAGTAAATATTCCATGAAATCTGTTGGTTTGTAACTGGGGCCTGAAATGTGAACTCCGTGATCTTCAAGCGCAGGAAGCCAATGGTTTAGCTATAGAAAAGTAATCAGCAAGCACGTCAGTGATCCATTAGGTTGGCATCTTTCTGGCCCACAGCAAAAGCTTTCTAAGTTTGGCTGGGAAACCAGCAGCAGCAACTGTTTAAAGCACCAGTCACTGCAGAAGGCGGATGGAAAATAGCATTAATCTACATCGTCACTTATAGTCAGTTTTTCCAGGCATCTGTGAAATTTGGATTTTAACCTAACCAGACTGATAGGGGCAAAGGTGAGTGAAAACACTGCAGCTGAACCACCAGCCGACATTTTGCTGTGGCAGATAAGAAATCACTTTCAGTTATGTTGCCCAATTATTTAGATAGAAACAGGAAAATGACAAAAAAAAAAAACGTCCTGACAGTTATTGGCTGAATCGCGTGGTTGGTGTTTCATCACTGCTGCTGTGGAGGAATCTTCGCTGAACTATGTCTCTGCTGAACGGTCATGCTGCTGGTCTGCTGGTCTGCATCTCGTGTCTTTTTGTGATCTTGAAGTTTAACTCATGCTGACCCGATTCCCCTCTGAGCTCTGCTGGGCTCTGCTTCTGCAGACAAAATTCAAGTGGGTATAGGAAACGAGATGCAGTTACTCCTTCCAAGCTCTACTGTAGCTGCCAATTAGTACAACTGTTGAATACGGGACAGGAAGCACATTGCTTATTATTGTTCTGCTTTCATTGTCTAACATCCTGCTGCAACACTGAAGGATTATTTCACAGGAAAGAAACAAAACTCCTGTCCTGTATTCAATTAGGATCTTATGTGTTGCTCTACATACATCTGTTTTGAAGTTTAAGTTTATATGAGTGTGGTAACATTCACCTTAGTATGAACCGTATACATTTGCTTCTCAAACATATCTGTTGGACCTAGAAGAACGCTCTGACATGTTACTAAACAGTTGTAGTGAATTTCTCCCACGGATTCAGATGCTTGAATCTCTGCCAGCATTATGGTGAAGATGGTATCTGATTTAGACTTTTTTTTTAAGGTTGGTTTCTTTTTTGTCTCGGCTGCTTTAGTTCGTTTAAAGCTGTTAATTTTACAAGACTATTGCAAAAGGAAGAATAATGGCAGTTTTAATTACCATTTTGAAGCAATCATTGTGTCAGAGGGAGAAGAAATGCAAGCGTTAGTTTGGTTCCTCCTCCTGATACTCGTCCTAACAAAAGCAGTCCAGCTAACAGATGGAACGCCCTGATTTGGTTGATGGGAATGCAATAGATTATTTTTGATGCAACTAAAGAAGCATCCAACAGGTAGTTAAAACGGTGATGAAGATGCCTTATGTAGTACAGTAATCCATAGTATTGATCGTTCATATGATCTGAGAAATGCTTAAATTCAATTGATTTTTATATCTCAGTTCAGGGAATATTAAAAGAGTTTCACATTTAATGCTCTTCATTTTAGTTATTTAGTTAACTAATGGAGTTCTGTTTTGTTAAATTTATAAATGTGTGTGATAAAGAGCCTCTCTTAATAACCGATTACAAAAAATAAAATAATCAACAGATTAAGCAATTACTAAAACAGTCAAAGCCTCAGCCTGTATTTGGATCAAACTACCTTCCTGTTTTTTTTTTTTTATCATAATCACCGTCCAACCTTTCTGGATTATCTCTCCTCCTACAATATTTTGATTCCATTTTTTAAACTAAGCATGATCTAAAATACAGAGAAAGCTAAATTCTTAAAGTTGGAACATGACTAATCTGTTTTTTTTCAGTTTTTCTCCTTTTTTTGTCTTTTAAAAAAAAGTTTTTATTAGGGATGCACGATATAATCGGCCCCCTATCGGTATCGGCCTGTATCTGCCTTAAAACTGAATATCGGACATCGGCCACCCCACTGATATTTAACCCGGTATTTGATCAGCTTCTGAGTTTCTAAAGTCTAAAAAAAAAAAATAAAAAATACTACTTCTTCTTCCTCAAAAACTTATTTTTTACAGACTTAAAAACTTCTAAAGACGAGGGAAAAAATATTGATACTTTAAAATATCACAATATATTCATATGCTGATATATTGCCATTTAAAAACACCATATCAATCTCTTTTACTAATGAAATATTGCTATGTCGTTGTTATGCTACGAAATCCCCCGAAAATTCACGGAATTTTGCCATATTTTTATATGTTGATATATTGACGCCTTATCGATCTATTTTACTAACAAAATCTCACAAGAATTTGCAAAATATCACCAGAGTTTGTAACAGAACGATGAAATTTCACAAGATTTTGAAAGTAAAATAGATCGATACCATGTTTTTAAAAATCAATTTGATATCAGCATATGAAAATATATTTGAGTATATTATTTTTCAAAGTGTCAGAAATGGATAACAAAACTGCTATTTTCAATGACTACTTATTTTTGTCCAGCTTTAACATCGGTATCGATATCGGTTATCGGCTACATGAGTTTTAAAATATCGGCATATCGGATATTGGCCAAAATCCCAATATCGTGCATCCCTAGTTTTTATCGCAGATCCAAATTCATAACATGTTCAGTTGTTTAGTCGTTTTTCATACTGAGACAGGCTTTAGAAATAGGAAAAAGATATTTTCTCCGAGCTTGCTAGTTACGACCAGCTCAGGGCTGGAAGGTTTGTAATATCAGTGTAATTTCACTGCTGGGCTGAGATGAACAGCTAGTCTGAGTTAAGTTCTCCCATAAACTGCTTCTTAATTTCTGGCTAAAAACATGCTGGAGAAACTGCAAAAAATTTGCCAGGATGGGCATGGCAGGTTATTAATGTCAGTAGACTTTAGACAGTCTTTGTAAACAAAT